GCTTCAACTTGACTTGTTGGGCAACTAGAATATGCTGAAGAATTTTGAGCACAGGAGAGAAATGATGATATTAGTCTGTACTTTAAGAAGATAATGATGGACTGTGGGGTGGATTTGTTGTGGTGGGGATGGAAGGAAAGAGAACAGAGTTGAAAGCAAGAAGGTAATTATTGAAGTTGGGCTGGACATTTTCCATTGGCCTGTCCAGCTTTACTTTCTACCCTTCTCCCCTCTGCCTTGTGCCCCTGGAGGCAGATTTTTATGGACTCTTTGAACAGACTACCTTTACCCTCTAATTTTATGATTGAGTTTGGGTAATAGAAGACACAGCGGGAGAAAAGCAAGAGCAGGTAAAGTGTGAGGCCAGAGGCACTGTTATCCTGAGTCACTCCTAGCTAGGCCTGTCTACTTGAAGAACTATAGGTACTATGGGGAGTACCAATCCTTTTTTTCTTTTTTTAAAAATATATCTTTATTGATTTCAGAGAGAGGAAGGGAGAGGGAGAGAGATAGAAAAATCAATAACGAGAGTCATTGATCAGCTGCCTCCTGCACGCCCCCTATTGGGAATCCAGCCTGCAATCTGGGCATGTGCCCTCACCAGGAATTGAACTGTGATCTCATGGACCATAGGTCGATGCTCAACCACTGAGCCACGCCAGCCAGGCGAGACTCAATTCTATAGCAGCCTGGGGCCAATAATGCCTCTCTCCCTTAACTCTTTAGGGCCTAAGGGCCAAAGGGGTTTCCTCATGGTTGTTAAATGTATCCATTTGCCTTAACCTTACCCACACCCTTGTAAAGGGTCCCTTCTTTAAACTGTCCTTAGTAACCGTGTTTGAGCCTACCATCCATTTGCCACTAAAACTGGAACTGTGCACCATAGACAATTCCAATCATAGCATTTAAAACTCTAGTTTGCTTTTCCTCTAAGTAAGAGAAGCCAGGAAAGTTGGCAGTCCAGGGCTAGTATGATGGTTTTGTGGTCATTTTTGGTGTTGGGGTTCTATAATTCTCCTTCATATGAGCGCTGGCTGTCAAATGGCTATTGAAACACTAAGCATTACTTCCACTTTATAGGCAGCAGGAAGGAGAGCAAAAAGGGAACACTTCTCAGTAATTTCAAGGAGCCTTTCAGGAAGTCTCCTCCAACACTTCTGTTTCTAGTGCACTGGCCAGACCTTCAGCACATGACTATGCCTGCTACAAAAGAGACGGGGAGGTGATTTTTCTAGCTGGGCACATTGTAACTCCAAGTAAATTTGGGGTTTTGTCATTAAAGAAGAACTGGGAAATTGTTATTGTGTAGTTAGTTTAAAGACTGTACCACCAGAAGCTAGTTAAATAATCCACAAGGGTCTGAGAATGGGGCGGGGAGGAAAGGGTGGTAGACATTGTGTAAGACGGACAACACTAGATGTTAATGATGAAATGGGCCTCCTGAGTGTCCTCTCTGTTTGTCAATATTTCACTTATGAAATAAGTGATCTAATAAAATATTATTTATCTAAGTCTACAAACTTTCTAAAAGCTACTTGTTGGGGAATTCTGTAGAAAATAACCAGAAAAAAAGAAATGCATTTAAACAAGTCTGAAAAGAAGTGTCTAGAGAACACAAGAATATTGGCAATTTCCATTTCAACAACTTTAGTAATGTTGAGTAATTCTGTAGTCATATCAACTGACACAATTGCAGGGTTTCCATTGACCTAAATAACTTCCAGAAAATAAAATGGTCACCATGTTTACAGCTGTCCAATCATAATTGTCATGCACATCCCTTTCAGCAAAACTTGCCAGCTCAAAAGGCAGCTAAGTTCAGAGTTACTGATAACCATGAACAACTGTTGATGTGTTAAAGGTCTAAACCTGAGAGATTAGAGTTTCCTCGGTAAGCTGAATATTAGGTAAAATGACAACCTATTTTGTCTCTTAAATTTTGATCAACACACAACATTTTTCAAGATTTTGTGTTTTTTAAGTAAATTGTAGAAAGTACAGAAAGACTGTTTCTTCTCCCTATGAGATTTTATATTTCTTGAGATATAAAACTACATCTCTGAAAATGTGTGTGTTTTATGTATAGTATAGTGGACGTATTTATCATATATTTTATTTTCAAAGTTCCCCTCTTGGTTGAGTCAGTCACTAAAAAACATTGCTCTGAATGTAATTATGTAAAAAAACCACCACTGTTAATTACATTGTAATCTATATGACTGTCCTTGATTTCTCAACTAAGAAATTAACTTAGATCTATGTGAAAAGTGTAAATCAGATTTTTTATTGAAATATATATTTCAACACCATCATGGTGACTGGCTTTTTGAGTGAAGTGATAAACATATAGTCTAAATAGTCCACCAAGTGCTAGATTTGGTACTGGGAATCTTTTCTGTCTTCGCAAGGAAATCCACTGTCTCTTCATTTTCATTACAATTAACTTGTAATTTGCTGAATATAAGCTAGTCACATGATGGTTTATTTTTTAAAAATTAACGTTCTAGCTTGGTTTCCCTTTGCTATCATGGTGGCTTCCATGTCCCCATTAGAAAATACATGTTTATAAGTTATGTCATGATTTATACACCTAGAACTCGATATGTAATTCAATTCCCTCTCCATAATTTACTTTGTATTGTTCATTTAAGAAGTATTTACCAGTTTTCTACTAGATGCCAAGCTCTGTGCTAGCTAGAAGGTAGGTGTTTAGCCTTAAGCTTTATATATTGGCTAGCTCTATATAGGGTGGGGCAAAAGTAGATTTATAGTTGTGAGTACATGAACAATTTATTCATGTATTATTATTTATTAATTATTGTATTATTTTACATACAAACAACTGTAAACCTACTTTTGCCCCTCCTGTATATGATTGTGGTTGATTATATGTCTTGATGCCCAGGGTTTTTTATGTATGGAGGGGAATAACCAAAACTATTTGTACTTTGTTTAAGTTTTAGCTTAATAAATTCATATATTTTACTTACTAAATATACATTTGATGGTAAATTTGGTTAACTAATTTTGCTTTAAAAAGATAAAAAGGAATTCCACATTTAGCATGACTGAGCACCTTAAACAGCAGATAAATATATACAAATATAAGAACTATGATATATTATTACATATTCTTTTACATGTATTCTAAAATATTAACATTATAAGTTGGATTAATATCTTTAATATTTCTTTTATTATTATACAATATTTGTATTATACTTAATAAAATTATACTTAAGAGTTTATATGGTCTTAACATTTAAATAACATTTCTACTGATGGCAATCTTTTCCTAACTAAGGTCACAGGGACTGAGTTACCAATTAATGGTATTGGATAGAGAATTGGGTATAGAATTTAGTTGTTTTTCTCAAGCAGATTAAAAATAAAGACAATGGTTATCAAGCTATTTCCTTTTGTTCTAAAATAATGTATTTTGAAAGTCTCCCTTTGTCAGCAATGTCATCTATGTCTTGTCATCATAATGTACTGATCTGGTCTGTTACCATTATTACAACTCTTTCTATTCCTTGCTAGTATTTTATTAACATTCATAGGGTCACATAACAGTTTCATCTCTTAAGAGATGCAAGAACAGGACCATACATTTCTCTTTAAGACATTTTGCTAATTCAAATACTTTCGAACACTTCTACTTGGTTGTAGTGTGCTCATTACTGTTAGACTCACTTTCTACTTGATATAATATATGACTACAAGGGCTAATTAGTTCTCCCTGTTATTGATACAATTTGTACCTTTTATGGACTATATAAAAATTGTGAAACTCTTTACCAAAGTGTTGTACCATTTTACATTGCCTCCAGTAACAGATGAGAATTTTAATTACTCACATCCTCTCCATTACTTAAAACTGTCAGACTTTCTAATTATAGCTGTTTTAACGGGTATGAAGTGGTATCACATTGTGGCTTTGATTTGCATTTTCCTGATGACTAATGCTATTATGCATCTTTTCAATGTGCTCATTATATATTTGTGTACCTTCTTTTGTAAAGTGTCTGTCCATATAAATGTTCAGATAAAATGTTGTTTATCTTACTAAGTTGCAGAAATTCTTTACTTTGAATTCATGTCTTCTGTCAAAAATGTGCAATGTGAATATATTCTTCACTCTGTGGCTTGCCTTTTAATTTTCTTGACAATGTTTGTCGAAGAGCCAACACTTTAAAATTTATTTTGTGAGTACCGATTAATCATTTTTATGTGGCTACAACTCTGTATAATTTTGTTTTCTTCTTGGTTCTCAGGGAACAGAGCTATACCAAAGCATAATACTAGAGGAGATTTTTTTTTAAGTACCTATTAGGGTTATTGAACTTCATTTGAAATGAAGAAGGGTAAAGCAGAGCCCAGCAAGTTTATTAGATATTTTTCTTTACAAATATCATGTTCCCTCCATCTCATCCAACCTTTAAAGAAATAAAGGGCACTGTCCATATAAATGTTCAGATTCAGGTAAGGTTTTGTTATAAGAAAGTCATTGACATCACATATCTTGACAGTCATATCCAGTCTGAGGGTACAGATATGGTACTAATCTTCTAAATGGGGACAAGGAGTAGAAGTGCATGGGGAGAAGGAATTGATGCCCTTTCTAGGTTTTCTTTCTTGCCCGCTGCCTCATTTATAGAATTCTTTTTTTTTTTTTTAAAAGACTTTATAAAGAATGCTCAGTTCAATTAAATCACAGTGACAATGGGCTGGGAAGAATTGATGAAGCTGTCTAAACACAAATGAACTCCCAAGCCATTCTCAAATAATTATGAATATTTTTCTATATTATTTAATATTTTACTTCAATGTAAGTCATAAACGTTAAGACTAGAGATACTTAGGTCAGCACACCTCCTAAAATTTTAAGCAAACTTTTATGTGTATTGTGCACTTTGTGGGGAAAGGGGCCTGTAGCTTTAATCAGATTCTGAAATGGGCCTGTGACTGGTTAACTATTACTATGGCTTAGGAACTCCGGCATGGTTCTGGCTTGTTCAGTTTCTCAGATGATAGCTGGGGTTGGAACAGAGGAAGTGCTGAAGCAGGTGGGACCTGGCTAGGTATCTTGCTTTCATAGCCTTACCAAGTGGTCTTTCTATATAAGTTAGTTTGGGCTTCTTCACAGCATGGTGGCCTTAGGGTACATGAACTGCTTACTTAAAAAGAAAGTTATTAAGAGCAAGTAATCTAGCTCATGAAGTTGAAGCTAGCCTTGGAAATTCTGTAAAGTCACTTCTGCCACTGTAGTCAATCAGTTACAGTGAGTCACAGCCTGCCCAGTTTCAGAGGACTATTGAACTTTACTCTTGATAAGGAGTGACAAGCTTCTAGAGCATGTGAAATATTAATGACGGTTTTTATATTTTAGGATATATAATCTGCCACAGACAGTATGATAGAGCAAAAAATTGAATCTGTGTCCTAGTTCTGGTTTTCCACTTATTAGCCATGTAACTTTAGAGATATTTATCTGATCTGCCAATGTTGTCCCATAGTAGGTATCACATAAATGTCAAATGAAGGAATGAATGACATAGAATGACTTCTTCAGCCTTCAATTTCCTCTTCTGTATATGATTAATAATACCTAAGGAAAGTCATGAAGAATAAATGAGATGAAAGACTTGAAGATGTTTTGAAAGGGCAACTAAGGGTGTTCTTACCCCCCCCCCCTTTTTTTTCCAGAGTCTATGGTGTTCTTTTCAGAATATTCTCAGTGATGTCAAATGTTTGTCCTCTGGGTAATCTTTCTTTGTTGTTGAAAAAAATTAAAGGTCATTTGGAGCAGGGAAAGGACCTGTGATTTCACCGGGTAATAACATTTTGGGGTCTTAAATGAGATATCATTATAATATGTTGAAACTAATATTTTTTAAGTGGCTGGTGACCTGATCTGGAGGGCATTTCCAGATTTCCATTACTAAAGGTGTTTTGAGTGAAGGCAGGGAAGTGGAAATAACTGTGTGATGGCTGCAAATAAGAGATAAATGCTTATTTGAATATTTGTTAAAAAATAGGATTAAATACTTTTGTCCAATGTCTGAGAAAAGACTCAATCTTCGTTTCTAGGATGGGGAAATTTGAATTTTACTGATAATCAGTTAAAAGAAAAGCCAGCAGGAATTAAGTAAAATAATTATATTTACAGCTAAGGACCAACTGTAGATTTCTAAAAGTTATAAGAAAAGCATTTTAATTCAATCACCTCTGTATTTATCTCCTTAAGTTTGAATTACCTTGATATAATTTTTTACTTATGTATATTTTTTCTTTTTGTAATCTTGGAGATGATGAATTTGAAGTTTTCTTTAGGTATTATTTCTGAAGTTTTCTTTTATTTAAAAAAATAAATGGTTTCTTAGTTACTAAAGCAAAAAAAAAAAAATGAGTAAGAAGGAAAGTGATTTCAGCAAATGAGGCAAATCACTTGCTAGCATTTTCTTTCTTAAGTGTGCATAATAGTACTTAGTTTTCTTTCTGGAAATCTCCTGTAACTGTGATAAAGTAGATGGCACTGTGACATCAAAGCCAGCCAGGAAGATTCTGAGCGGACTAGTTAGGTAATTTTGATATTATTTTCATTTAGAGGAAAGCGTAGGGAAAAAATGTTTAAAATGGAGACAATATAAAAGAAAACAATAAAAAATAAAATTATATATAATAAATAATATTCCACAATAGTTATTTGTATGTTATAACAGGATAGGCATATTTTATTAGTATACCCACCAGAATTTGGTCAGAGCTTTTATAAGTATGTATATTAGAATTATGCATTCTAGCTGATTGCCCACTGTCCTAAAAAGATCATAAAGACCATTGCATATCCATCCATTTCTTCTCAAACCTGAAGGGCAATGAACAGCTACCAGAGATTCTTGGTGGTTAATAATCTGCTTGATTCTGGCTTCAATCTCATTTTGGTTGCCTTCTCCCCTTTGCCTTCCAGAAGAGGCCAAACTCAGTCCTAGACAGTTCAGGCACCCCATAGTCCGTTGCTGATGGAGCTGGGGGCTCATCCTGCAGGCAAGGAAGGTCTGTGGTCAGCATTAACGTGAGGGCAGTTATGAGGCCAGGTTGCACTTATATGAGGTCTGGTGAACACAGGACCCATGAATCACTCTGATAAATGAAGCTGGTTTCCATAGCACCGGATGGATTCATAATTGCTGCTCCCTGTTCCCAGTCCTCCAGATTATAGACTTCTTGTGGGGCTTCCAACCCAAGACCCAAATGGGGCCAAGGAGAGTCATTTATTATATAAAATTGATAACTCCAATTATGGCTACTACCACAGAAGTCTTGATTCAAAGTATGTTAATTAAGGCATACTTCTTTGTGTTACAGATATTACTATTTATCTCATTTGTAATAGAAAAGTTCCTTATCTTAAAGAATACAATAGTGTCTCTATAAGAAAAAATATATTTTAGATTAAGTAGCTTTAAAAGTAAGTCAAAAAAGACACAATAAACTGGCTTCACAAGTGTTATCCTCAACTACAAAGTTTGTTTGTATGTGCTGCATCGCACCAGGCACCCCTGAGCGCATGTCATGTAACTGATATTTTATAACAAAAGAAGAACTCTTCAGTAACAGGGAAATAACAGACATGCTTCAACGGAGTGGCAGAGATTGGTTTTCCTAATAAAAATGTTTAAAATAACATAACAGTATTTTTTAAGTGCACAAACATTTTAATGTTTCCTTACTTGGTGCCTAAAGATATAGACCCCTATGGTTTTCTGGCCTCCAAATTACAGCCCCGCCCATCTTCCTAACTTCATTTCTGTTTTATGTTGAACTCATCCTTCCTCAGCTTCACAGTTCTGCATAATTCCTTTCCCCTCCACATCCAGGCATCTTCGTTTTTCTTCTTCCTCCTAGGCTGCATGTGTGCTGCATGAGCTCTTTCCTCCACCCTGGAGATACCTTTCTATCCCAGCTTCTCTACCTTTTCTACTTTTTCCACCATTTTGGCTGCCACTCCCAATGCTGTTGTATTTTGTTTGGATTCTTCTAGTGGCCTCCTAATTGAGCCCCTAGGTGCCATACTTGCACCCCTCTAGTTTATTGGTCACACTCCAACCAAGGTGATAGTTATAAAACAGAAGTTGAATCATAGCACTCCCTGCTTAAAACCGCATATTGGGTTCCCACTGTATATAGGATAAATTCAAAAATCCTTAAAGTGTCCCCTAAGGCTCTGCATGTTCTGTCTAGTGCTGTCCTGTTACTCACTGTGATCCACTCAGTGTGGACTGCTTTTTGTCCAAGCTTCCCCCTTGCTTTCTTTCTGTCTAAATTTTTTTTGGAGGGGGAGGGTGTCAGAGTGGTGATGATTCTTAATAAGCCTCTTAGAGGCTCATAAAAAAAGAGACTGTCCACACAGGGTTTAGATAAAGCTCTAAAGTGGGGAGTGATTGGAGAGCTCAGAAAATGCTTCGCTACACTGGAAGGCATCACTTTTGCTGGAAAATCATCTAAACCCTTCTTTAAATACTAAAATAATACATGCTTAAGATAACAGCAACAATAAAAAACAACAACAGAAGTGAGCTTCAGAGATGTCCTTCCAGATTTCCTCTGCCTTTATTAGCATCTATGTAAACACATGTACGTTCTTTTTTGGACAAACAAAAATCATAGTTCCTCTCCCAGAAACAGCTGAGCCTCAGAATAGAAGACTAGGAATTGAGATGTATTTACGACAACCCCCTGTAGAAATTTCTGTTTGCTTTTCCCATGGACTGTGAAGACATTCACGTGAATCATCCATTTAATAGTTTAACGTTGCCACCGTCTCCACCGAGGGTGGGAATGCACCCCGGTTACTGCGAACTCTGCCACACTGTCAACAGGGCTGCTCGCGCTCAGGAAGCTGCCCCACGCCGCGCGGGACCTCTGTCCAGGGGTCCCAGGGTGCGCAGCAGTGAAACTACACCTTCACCTCCTATGGGTGTCATCGGTCATTAATTGTTTGCCGAGGCAATGCAGAGCAAAACAGAAGACCTCTCGTTCTAGTTTCACGTTCCTTATTGCTCATGGTTGAGCACATTTTTATGTACTTACCGGTAACTTGTGATTCTTCTGTGAATTGCCTATTTTTGTCTTCTACTCTCTTTATTAATAGGTTGTTTTTTCACGCATCTGTAAAAGTTCTTTTATAATATTGAATGTTGTGAGGGACACGGAGATACGCCCCGCAGCCCTGCCTTCAAGGAGGGGCTTGCTGCCTGCACCGCTGGGAGTGCTGTTAGCAGACAGGCTTCAGCTGTGGGTCCCTTCAGGGATGGCATCAGCTGCACAGCCACCTTGCCAAGGCCACACCCTTACCTAGTGGCTTACACCAATGACTGCTGTGATGGAAGGAAGGTTATAAAGGCCCAGCCATTCTGGTCCATTAGGAGACAATTCTAACAGGCCAGTTACCTCTGTGTGGTCTGCCAATTATTTGGGTCGCATTGCAACTGGACTTCTCCCTCAGACAAATCCTGAATCCTAGCCAGGCCAGCGTGGCTCAGCGGTTGAGCATTGACCTATGGCCCAGGAGATCGAGGTTCGATTCCTGGTCAGGGCACATGCTGGGGTTGCAGGCTCCATCCCCAGTAGGGGGCCTGCAGGAGGCAGCCAGTCAGTGACTCTCTCATCATTGATGCTTCTCTCCCTCTCTCTGAAATCAATAAAGACATGTTGATGTTTTTAAAAAATCCTGAATCTTTCCTTTGCCTTCCATGGAGATTGATTCTAAGAAAATTTCCTTATAAATATTTTGTCTTAGGTTCTGCTTCCCTGTAGAATCTGTTTTGTGGAAAATACACATTTCAGATATTGTGGTAAATATTTTCTCAGAAAATATCTCCTAGGCAAATATTGTGTCAGGACCTTCACACAATCTCTTCTTACGCCATTTTCCCTTGGCTGTCTCCTACTTCTTTAGGTATCAGCTTCAGTGTCTTATCCTCACTGAGGCTTTTCCTGACCTTCAGTCTAAATCAAGTCTCCCTGTAATCTTCTGTCATAGCTTCCTATATTTTTCTTCACAGCACTTACCCCAGTTTTAATCCTATCAATAAATCTATTTGCATATTTAACAGCTGAATTCTTCACCAGACACTAAACAACATGAGGACAGATAATTTTCCTATTTTTTCATCTATCTTTAACTAGTTACTGATAGATAGTTCCTGATACATAGTTTATCTTTAGTAAATATTAGTTAAATGAATGAAGGGATGAATAAAGGAAGGAGGGAAAGGATGAGTTCTTTTTCTAAAAACGTGATTTCCAAACAAAGAAAATACCTCAGCTACTGAGTTTGTACCACAAGCATCACCAACTGAAATTATGAAACATTCTGCATTCTTTTTGTGCACCGTGAAATTCTTTTGTGGTGTGGGTATGAAGATTGATATAAATTAATTCTGTCTCTATTTTCTTGCAATGGATTGCTTAAAATTTATTTTAAGGAATTGCCTTTGGAACCCAGGGTTCTTTTGAATCCAATTTGAAAACCATTATTCCATATAATTAGCATAGTATAAAGAGAAAAAAATAGAAGTTCTATGATTAAACCTTTTAAAGACAAAATTAATTTCCACTGCTCAAAGCCTAAAGGGAAAATTTAGAAAGTGGGCAGAGAAAATGGGTTGTCTCATTAGATTTTGTTCAGGACCTATTATTACCAATTTACTAGCTCACCCTTGAATTGGATTAGAGTATTACCATGATTACTATATTTATAATGTTACAAGGGATTCATAATGTGTCATTTGGAGCTGAAATTTCTCATGATTATTTTAGCCTACAAGCAGTAATAATATTTAATCAAGCAAAACTTTCTATTTTTTCATGCCATTTAACAATGTGTAGTTAAATCACATGTGATTCTTGTATGATGGATACATTTTATTACATCCAATTTAGTAACAGAAAGCCTAAAAGCTTAATACCAAATGCACATCATTGGGACTTGGTTAAAAGCAACCTGATTGTCTTCTGTTTTTAAGAGGTATATGGGATTTTTTTCACATATATACAATCATTCAGAAAAGAATTGTTACATGCTAATAACAATTTATTTTTCCCAGACAAAGAGGGAATAAAACTAATTCTCATCTTTCAACCAATTATGTCTCTATTTGCTGGGTGAGTCTGCTTCTTGGACCATTTGTTTCTTCAAAACTCAATCAAAATCTCTTAAAACAGGGAAGAAAAATATTTTAACAAATAATTAGAGGACACACCTCTTATCTGTTCTTCAGTCTTGACAATCTTAGAGAAGAATCCAAGGGCAAAGGAGAAAGAATATATGCCCCCCCC